TGGCACAAATTAATGCTTTCATTAAATGGGAGTTTTCACAAGGTTAGTGGCTTGCAAATCTCTTGCCGGAATGTGCAAACTCAAGAGGAAAGAAGCAAAGGTGAGGTGTCATTTTGTAAGGACAAACTCCAAAGTTAAGCAGATGCTGGGAAAAGCCAAATGCTGAACTGAAAAGAACAATCAATGTTAGGGTTTACAGAATCCAGAGGGACAGAAAATCCAAGCCAAAGGTCATCCAAATGCTGAACTGAAAAGAACAATCAATGTTATGGTTTACAAATCCAGAAGGATAAGCAATCAAAGCCAAAGGTCACCTTTCATGATCATGTTTGGAAGTACATTGGTGAGAAAATGGCCAATTGGGTAACTCCACAGAAGAACTTGTCAGCAGAAACTAAGCCTGCTGAAAAGGAGCCTGGAGTTCCTGTTAAGAATATTTCTAGAGTATCATCAAAGTTGGAGCCACCAGTGGATTCACCTGATCACTTACCCATGAAGAACTCTCCCAGCAACAGGGAAACCAGTGATAAGAAAGGACAAGATGCCAACCCATCTGTATACCATGGGCCTTGGAAGAGAAAACAACCAAACTTGGTGAGTGGACAATTTAGTGTAGTCTTATTTTTTGTATTAGGATTGCCCAAGAGACCTCATAATCCAGAAAACGGCAGTGTTATAAGCTATGTTTTTAATTTTGTAATTTAAAGGTTAGTTAGAGGGAGGATAACATTAAGATCAAGCAAGTCCTTGAAATATCTAGAACAAATGTAGATTATAAATACAACATTCAGTGAATCTGAGAGAGGTTGGTTAAAAAGAGAACTGACTGTTAACAGGAGATTATTGTGAAGATAATAAGTATGTAAGCTTGTACAGTGAATCAGTGTGCTTATGTATTTGAATCAGTGTTAATAATCATGCTTATCAAGTTATTTTGTTTAATTAAGTTCATTTGTAATTTGTAATATAGGTATACAACAATTTACAACATTATACAAGTGTTCGAGCTAGTAGAAATATTAAAGGAGTAAATAAACAAATTTGTTATAGTTTGTGTGTACTGAACTTCCAATTATTTTCATCTAATAACTTAAAAGAACACACTAACAAAAGAACATTATAATAGTATATTAAAGCTGGTACTTTAATATCATGAAGAAAGGCTTGGGTTCATGCATCAGGGAAAATGTATCACAATAGCATTAGGGACAATAATGTATAACAATACAGGAAAACTACAGTTTATCTTTGTTCCTTGTGACTGGTTTAACACATTTTTTGAAGGATTTAATTTGGGTTAGTCAACAAAATTTAATAACAAAGACCAAAGGGCTAATAAAAGCATACAAATTTCAAATGAAAGGTTTATTATATATCTATTTTGTGTTCAACAAATTCTGAAGTTACAAAACTACAGCTTTAGCAAACATGTGTACTATACATGTATGACATAAAATTCTCACTGGACAGAAAGTATCAAAGTCCATTTAAAAGTAATTGTTCAGTATGCATGGCTTGGATTGTTCATCAAAATGGTATTTTAAATATCTCCTCAATATGTCATCAGAACTTTACAATACTTTACAGTGTTTCCTTTTATAACAATATCTGTGTAATGACTGAGTCACAAGTTCTGGAAGTGTCTGAAAATTTTAATGGCAAAAAGTTTGAATTTCTTCTTATTTCTTCTGCTTCTTTTTTATTACATGATAACTCAAAAACCAAAACAGTGATGTCAACCAATTTCACTGAGGTGACATAGTTTCAAATGGAGTATCCACTTTTATAAGTATTATTAATAATTAGTAGTAATCTAAAAAAATCATATTTCTTAGGTAAACAATGTTATCATTACCCCTTGAAGTTAGCTTTCTTACAAATATGTGGTGTTCTTAAAAAGCTTAAGTACAGGGTGAAACAAAAATTACTAACCAATAATAGATAAACAATATTATAGTTAGAACCTAACTGTATTTAGAACTGGGTTATAAATACAATTTTCCTGTGTCCATTGAAACACTGCATTAAAAATAAACAAGCAAATAAGTGAAAAAAAAAGGAAGCAAAATGTAGGAATAGCTAATATCAATCCTTGAACAACAATGCAAATGAAATAGTAGGGATGGCATTTGCATCATCCCTACATGATAGCACAATCATGAATTAACATATAACAATATATATAACTATTCAATCACAACTGAGTTTCATTTATCCTATTTTTGTCTGTTAACATTCTACTACACTGTACCTCTGCTATTATGTAGGGATGATCTAAATACCATTCCTACTATCTTGTTTGCATTATTTTTGAAGGATTGATATTAGCCATCTGTACATTTACTACCATTTTTGAAAAGTTTTTTCTTTACTTGTATATAATAACTCGTGTGGAAACTACAAAGAAAAATAAGCTAGTTTGAAGGACAAAGTAGAAAATTTTGTTTAAAAAAAAAAAAGATATCAAAAGCACTAAAACTGAAATCATACAAAGGGAAAGTAAAATTATAAAATTAAACAATTATCTTTTAGACTGTTTATGACAATAAAGATATTTACCTGTGTAAATGTACAAAAATATTACTACAAGTAAATAAATGTATAGCAGCAACTGTAACAAAAATGAAAACCAGCAATCATGAATTACATTAGTTTTGAAAATTCTCTCTTTGATACCTTACTTTTGTGTTAAATTATTATTTTAATAATACTGCAAAGTATTTTCATAAATTACTAGAAGACTCGTCCATTCACAAGTTGCAACTAGTAATGAATGTTTATGGAAGACTGTACAAATTATATGTGAAAAATAAAAGTTCCAGGATATTGAGATAAATTCATACGTGCAACTTAAACAACATAGCAGGTATGAGACTGTGTGTTTATGTACACTCATATACATTCATTAAGCTCTATATTTTTACTCATAAAAGATTCCTTTTGATTCTTAACATAACCACCACATTCATAATAATCAAACAAAATTTACTTATGTAAATGTATTTACATATAACAATAAATTCATCATTTATTTTTAAAATTTCTTTTTCCAATCATTATATATTTGCTTGAATAGTTATAAAATATATTGTTGTCAATCAATGGATACCAACATCAATCACACATACTACTAAACAGAAAAAACATGGTGTGGAACTTACAACAGATAAATATTACAAATGAAGCAAAACTACCCCTCAGTATTTTCACAGAATACCATTATTTATTTACCTAAAACAAATAATGCCACAAAACAAAAACTGAATCATTAAACAGCTGATTCATATATGCTGCTTCCAATATGATACATTTTATAATATAGCATCACTAAGCCTTAACGGTCTGACATTTTATTATGCTGATAAATAATTTATCAAAATAAACATCTAAGCACATTCCCCCTAGATAATGATCCATTAGAAAACTATGTAGTTCCAAATATCCTACTATGTTTGGAGAAATATTGTTTGAGTATTTGTTCTCGACCTCCTCTTAGGCTTTTGCATTTGGATGTGTTAAAATAAGGTTTAATCAACTAGGAAGGATTTGGAATGTGTCAGGAAGAAGTTATATTTCTTCTAAAATTCATAATTTTATAGCTCCAGGTTATCTAAATATAGATGCCTATAGTGATGGTGGCCACTAGAGGCACTGATGGGATTTGTGCAGTTTCCTCTTTCATTACATGAAATATAGATACAGTATATGTACTTTCAATCATTACTAGCATATTTAAGACAAACAGAAACACTATTTATATTCGTAACTGGTCAAACATTAATACTACAGTTTCATCGTTTTCAACTGCCATCAATCATTTGAGAGATTTCTTATTTTGCACATTCTTTATATGTGCTTTCAAGATGCACACTTATATTAGGTGAGATTTTTCTAAATTACTTGATACTTATTGCTTTTTGATAAAAAAAAACTAACATATAAAATAAAATGTTATTTAAATAATCAAGCCCAGTGGACACTTTCAATTGCCTCTAACATATTTTGGAAAAATCAATTTTTATAAACCTATCAAAGTGCAATGCACAGGTACATATGCTAGTTGTGCAACTACACCGTTTATATTGTAAAACTGAATCAAAGTCAAACTTCAAAGTTTATCAAAAACATAATTGATAAACATTTACAAAATGTTTTTAATGACTATAGTGTAGTATGTAATGTAATACCTTTAAAAAGTGTTTCATTTTGAATTTTCTTACTGATTATAAGCATTTTATTACAAATGACAAATTTTACAGTAAGAAAATATTTTTTAGAATAGGTACAATGTCTGATCACTGGTGCAATCAGTCTCAAGTATACAAGTTTTAATGCAGAAATATTTTTATTTAAAACTTTAGCTTACCTATTTTTACAAGTCTTTAATCTGTTATTACAAAACTGTGATCAGTATATGTAGATTTTGTTTCCTACTTAGGTACAAATGATATGGTCTTAGTCACTGAACATTTTTTTTAAATTATTTCACTATAGTTATGAATAATTCAACAACAATTCTTAAAGCAGCTTTACTTAATGAACCAGTTTTGTATAAACTAAATCATACAGATTTGCTTAAGCAATAAACCATTTCTGTATAAACTATATTATATACATTTGCTTAAACAATGAACAATCTCATATATACATAATAGCCAAATGTCTGTCATGCTCTGCATTTCCTTAACAGTTAATCGTAGAAAGAAAAAATACACATCAAAATACGTTGCAGTCAGTCTCCTTTGCTTAAAAACAAACACACTGCAATGTTATTGATATAACACATGAAATGACAAAATATGCTTTTAAATGGCCCACTAAACAATCATATTGCATGTACACTCTGATCCCAGGGATCAGATTGGTTGTACATTTTTATATTTAATCAGCACAATTTTTAGCAAAATTACCATTGAATTATTTCAAAAGACATCCGCTATTTTCTGTATGAAATATATTATACACATTTCCTTAAACAATGCTACAGACTAATCACTTACTTCATTCGTGACCTGATTAGCTTTCATCTGAAGATGTTCTAGTTCACTTACTCCAGCAGAACCATTATGTTGCCTAGACATGGTGACCAATTCTTAAAGGTAATGACCCACAACTTTTGTACCTACTGAAAAAATGTACAGATATATTTTATTTTTAATCTTCTGCCTAAACTATACTTGAACAGTACCTACTTGTTTTAATTACATATGGCTGTAGGATGGTTCTGTGAAAAGTTCTTTCTGCTGTAACCATAAACTAGAATTCCATAACTACTTCAGCCCAAAGAACTTCAGTCCAGCAAATGTTTATTTTTAGTTCACACATTTTGCTGCACTTGGTTATTATTACTTAACATTTATAAGTTTTTCAAGGTAATAAATAATACGTCAGATAAGTGAAACAGAAAATTAGAACTGATCACACATTTAATGACTCTTGTATCAGTTATTCAACTATACACCTCATGCTCTGAAACCATAATGATGTAATAATATGCAGCTGTACTGCACTACAGCTAAGTACTACATAAATGATATTTAGTATAATGATTTATACAATTACATCACAGCTATATGAAATAACCATTTGACAGGGTGAAAATACCAGTAAACCACAATAGGAAATCTTTATAAAGAAATATAAACCCACATTCTTGATATATCCAAAATATTTATCTGTAAAACTGATCTGAAAAGCTCTTCCATAACACATTAACTGGCTACATGGAACCAACTCAAAGAACAACTGGACAAGCACCAAAAGAGATGAGAAATAGTATTTTCTTTAATGTATAAATACAACAAATTATGCAAGCCCTCTTCAAAGATTTGTTAAAAGTTACAAATAAACCATATGAAGTATGATGTTTTTATTTTTTTAAATAATAAATACTACAAAATTTGCCAGCCACTTTAACCTCTAACCTCCAATTCTAATCACTAATATAGATAATAACATTTGAAACAGTACAAACAAATATTTTATAACATAAAATTGTGATTTTGCAGTAAGAGCCAAAACAGTAATACTGAACCAGATGCAATTAGATATACAAGGATTAAAGGTGTGCATCAATAACACTAGTCTAAGGTAGCTTTGAGAATCCTGTAATCTAAGGCCATATTATTAAAACTTTTTGAATATATATTTTATTATTCATAGAATTCAGTTCCAAAGCACAACATTAAATAAAGTTTAATCTGAGTAACTTTGGAAGAAATTAAACTTTTATTTACACAATAATTCTAGTTTAAGACACTGATTATAACTGTTTATAGATCACACTTTTTGTATATTACAATCAAAATATAATAATTTGAATGAACATTATCTTTATAGAAAAGTTTGTGAGTAATGCAAAAAAGTACATTAAAAACTGTGTAAAATTGTTAAAAGAGTAAAACTTGATAAGTATGCATAGGTCTATTACTATGCCACAAGTGTATCAATATTGCATACTACATTTTTTGAGAATAACATACAGACAACATGGGACAATTTGATCATTTAAGGCTCTCCTTGGTATACCTATTCTTAAGAAGAGTATAAATTGAAACCTACCCTTTGCATTTCAGGAAAATATTCACTCCCCTTTTAACTCTTTCAGCATGGGCTCAGTCCCTGAGACCAACCTCGTAACAATTTTGTGCTTGTTATGGCAGGTTATCAGTAAACATTACAATGCTTTCATAAGCAAAATATCAATTTTGTTTACTAAGTCTTAAGGTTTTTAAAGCAATGTTTTTCTCATGCACGTTTCTTAAGAAAAAACTTTATATTTTATCTGTTATTTTCAGTAGTTGAATAACCAAAAAATCATAAGTTACTATATCAATATCATAGAATTCCATTATAATTTATCAAGCTCAGTAACTAAGCTGTATCTTAGCCTATAAAAATTATGAAATTTTGAGCAGACTAAAGACACAACCTACTTCCTCGAAATCTTGTTTCAAAAGAGAGAGATGGTGTCCAAACATGTTCAAATGGCTAAGAATGCCACTAGGGGACATTCTGAGCTTCCGATTGGTTATTCATGTTATATATAGAAGTAAGTGTATATAAGGGAGC